GAGAGAGAGAGAGAGAGAGAGAGAGAGAGAGAGAGAGAGAAAAGGGGAAGAGAGAGAAAAGGGGAAGGGAGAGACAGAGAGGAAGAGGAGGAGAAGAAGGAGGGGAAGGAGGAAGGAGAGGAAGAAGAAATAATAATGAGGGAAGGAGGTCAGAAAGAAAAAGAAATCAAGCTAGCTTGAAAGTATGGGTGGCTTTCTTTTAGAATAACCAAATAAATAATAAAAAATTTCATTAAATTCCTGTCATGATATATGTTTTGGGATAATGGTCTATAAGTGTCAGTTAATATGATTTATTTTGGTTTTAAATAGTTTGAAATAAAAAAAGAACATAAGGATGATCACAGTTAAGCAAATTTAAAAACAGAACTGTACCACTTTTCTTAGAGGTTTCAGAAAATCAGGCTTAAAAGGAACAAACACTCCTTTGTAGTGGTTATAGCAATTCTTAGTACTGAGATGATACAGACTATGTGCAAATACAAACATTGATGCTCCTTCCATTTACATGCTAAAGTAAAGATCCATAAATAACGTCATCATTAAAACTGAAATAACGGGCTGGTAGAGTGGCTCAAGTGGTAGAGCACCTGCCTAGCAAGCAGTGCCACCTGCTTTCAAACCTTAAGAAAAAACCCAAAAACCTGAAATAACTTGGGTTGAGGGCATAACTCAGTGATAGAGAGCTAATGTACAAAGTCCTGTGTTTGATCCCTAACAGTGCAAAAAATGAAAAAGAAAGAACTTTATAAAACATACCACAAAGTACTACCATCAGCACAGATAGTGTTTACTACAACTGAGAAGCAGAATGGCTGCTCAGGTATCACTACTAGTGGGGATGACCTGATGGGCAACTTAGCTGGTATCAAAGAGAGGTTTTTACATTGGTCCTCTTCTTCCTCCTCAATCTGGAGCTGGACCCTGAATGGCCACACCTGGGGGCAGGGGGTCAAATGCTGAAACAGGTGGGCCTAGGAGCAGGTAAGAAGCTGGTGACCAGAGCAAGTGTGGGGAATAGGGTTGATGGTGTTGCTCAGTGGTGGAATGCCTGCCTATAGCAAGCGTGAGGTTCTGAATTCAAGCTCCAGTACTGCAAAAAACAAAAACAAACAAACAAAAAAGGTGTGGGGAGCCAGTCATCGGTACTGGACAGGACCTAGTATAGCGTGAGTCAGTGAGGTGGGGAAAGGACCTTGGGCCCCCCACTCTTGGCCACAAGCCTTGAAGGGACCTGAGAGGGTCTGGGCGGGTGGTGGCCCCCAATCCCTTCAAGACAAACTCTGGAAGTAGGTTCCCTAATTTAGCTTTAGGTCTTCCAAGAACTTCCAGATTATGGGTAAGGAGTGAGCTCAGAAAGACCATCAGACATAAGGGAAGGTGAGTGTAGCCATACAGACAAGCAATACTCAGACCCTTAATGGGATGACCAGCTACCCACCTGTGGATGACCATCCGCTATAGCTGCTTTTGGGGCTGCGAGGGCCTGCAAGGCTGTGTGACTTCCTTCCTCTACCCAATCCTGCTTCTTTCCTCTGCCTTACATAGGTACTGACCCCCAATCAACACCATGACTGCAAAGTCTGGGTAAGTTTTGGGTTAAGTCACTACATGAGGGTCAGCAGACATGAGAGACAGCAAACCCAGGCCTCAGGAGCTGCAGAGCTCAGGGTTATCAGAAACAGATTGAGAGGCGGAGGCAGGAGGATCATGAATTTGAGGCCACTCGGACACAAAAAGTAGTGAGACCCTGTCTCTAAAACAAAAGGACAAGGGGTATGACTCAAGTGGTAGAACACTTGCCCAGCATGCATGAGGCTCTGAGTTCAACCCTCAGTATCCCAACCCTCCCCCCCACAAAATGTAGAAATGTATTATGAACTGTTATGCATAAAACATCTTTAAGAAACAAAGGATGCAGTTTTAGAGATGAGCATATAGCATGAAACTGTCAGAAAAGAACTGGCAAATTCTGGAAAATCTAGAAATCTTCTAGATTGAAAAAAGATAGTTGTTGAGCTGAAATAAAAGTCACTGAACAGGTGAGGCAAGGAAAAGGTTTAAGTGTGGTGGTGCACCCCTGTAATCCTAGCTATTCAAGAGGGGGAGGTAGGAGGTTCATGATTCAAGACCAGCCCCGGGCAAAAAGCCCAAACTCCTATTTGAAAAATAGCTAAAGCAAAAAGGATAGGGGTACGGTTCAAGTGGCAGAGTGCCTGCCTAGCAAGTGTGAGGCTCTGAAAAACTCCAGTACCATCAAAAAAAAAAAAAAAAAAGTTGAAGAAAGTATTAGGACTGAATTATATAGCTTAGGAACTTACCCAGAATCAAGTAAAGATGAGTGCAGATGAAAAATGGGAAAGAAAAAACCAGGGAGGCCAGAGTGAGACTGTTAAGTGTGTAGCTGTCAGTAAGACCAAGACCATGCTATTCCAAGAGAAAAGGACTAGAGAATTTACAGAAGCTAGAGACAAGCTGGCCCTCGAGTATCCTGGGCTGCCCCCTAGACACATGGGGGATGCAGCTCTGAGAGCACCAGGACATGCCCTATGAGCAAGCTATAGGGTACTGCTTGGGCCAGGGAAACCCCAAGATGGTGGACATCTTCCTGACGTTTCTAAGGGAGGAGCAAGAAATGTGTCACAATTTCCTCTCACAGCAGAGGGTATGGTGGGATTCACCTTATATCTCATAGCACTGATAGGACTTAAGTGTCAGATTCAATTGACCACTCCTCCAGAACAACAACAAAAGCACCAAAACCTGCAGCCCAGCTGCTCAAAAAGCAGAGGCAGGAGGAGGGTCTCCTAAGCCCATGAGGCCAGCCTAGCAATACAGGGAGACTCTGTCTCAAAAAAAATTAAATAAATAAAAGAGCTCTTAGAAGAGAATGTTCTCCTGTTCCAAAACACAGGCACTACCCCAGAGCATCACCTAGGGTGTCTCAGGCCCACCCAGATCTTCTGAGTCACAACCTGTATTTCCACAGCTTTCTCAGGCTTGTCACAATGAAAGTCTGAGAAGCACTGATGTGACTATGGCCTTCTGCTTTCAGTGCCATACCATTTGCACTTTTTTCTTTTACGGTGCCTCATCCTTCAAACAGTCACATGGTCACTGTCCTTCAGGAAAGGATAAACAAATGGACTCTGGAAGTTGCAAAAAAGTCAAATTTGAGGCACTCTGTTATTCAAAGGCAGTTAAGATTTTGGGACACAAATTCTGGATTCAGTCAAAGTTATGAATTGTTTCCCAAATACAAAGAATAAGGAAGGATTTTAGCTTACTTTATCAATTTTTATCAATTGATCAGTTCAGTCACTTTGAAATAAACAAATTTAAACCCTATATTTTGAAGTTTAAAATGAGATATTCTTAATGACATTTTTATGCTAGTTCTTAATTATTCATATGGCAACTTCTCTAAAGTTACACCATTAAACTTGTACAACTTCTAAAATTTTACTGACAATACCTCTTAATATTACACTTCATCTTACTTAAAGGTGAGAACAATTGGTTCTTAATTTTAATTAAGGCTGAAGCTACATAACACCCCAATGAATTCGGGTCAGTGGAAAAAAAAAATCAGTCACTTTAAGGAGAAATGACTCTTAACCACTCCCCTCTCCTCCTCTCCATCTCTTTTTCTTTTTGTGATGCTGGTGCTGAAACCCAGGGCCTTGCACACACTAGGCAAGCACTTTACCACTCAGCCACATCCCAGCCTCATTTTTTTTTTCTTTTTGAATATTCTTCAGACACTGTTTAGCTAATCAGTTGATAATCATCATTTACAGAACATTTGTTCTATCCTGACAGAAATTTGAAGAAAAGGATATTTACACCAAAATATTAAGTTATTTTCTCAACTATAAGAAAGAGAAAATGAAATGAAGGAAATGAGATTTATAAGGTTTGCTATGTGCAATATGAATTTCCCACTTTGGCCTGAGAGAGGATGCTGTTAGCACAGAATGGAATGAGGGGGGGACTTCAGTAGCAAATGAAGAAAAGGACAAGGCACTGGAGAAAAAAAAACCCTAACTGCTTATGGAGTTCACACGTTCATAAATCTGCATCAGTACCATACTCTACCAGAAACCAGGCCCCCTAGTGGTTTGAAGTAGTTAATGACTGAATGCCACACTGGGATATACAAAGCTGAATACAAGAATGATAGTTAATTATCTCATTCAGTCACTTACATATCACTTCTTAGATGCCAAACTCTGTTCTGAGCAAGTTACAAATATAAATTCACCTAATTAGCGCAACACTGAATGAAGGGATACTATTACTCAAATTTTATAGAGCAAGAAGTAGGTATCAAGAGGTTAGGTAACTTGCCCGAGGTCATGCCATTGGTCAGGGACAAAGCTGGAATGTGAAGGCAGCTGGATGATTCCAAATCCTTGTCCTGCACTACCCTGCTACTCCCTATTACTGGTAAGGGATGTTTGTCAGAAAACTAACCCTAGAGAAGAATTTAGTCAAACAGCAAGCAACCTCTCTAGAATACAGTTGCAACTGTGAATGTATTTCATTAAAACAAAAAACAGCAAAAGAAAAGAGGAGAGGAGAAAAGAGCTATGGAGTTACCAGAGCTCTCAGAAACTACCCAATTTGCTCTCCAAGTGAGAGAGCCCACCTCCTCTACTGATGTACAATTTGAATAGGCTTAATTACTTGTCCAGAATTGAGTAGCTCAGAAGCACTGCTAATTAGAAGGTAAAAATAACAACAACAACAACAAAAAAAAAAACAAGAAGAACTAGGAGAATTGATGGGTTACCACTGAAGCAGCAGACAGAAAACTTATGTCTAGAGACAAACCCCAACAGTAGTCTAGGTCTACTTTAAGGAGGAATAAAGGCCTACTAGTGACACCTCCAATGCTTCTGAATATCTCAGAATAGAAAGAGAGAGGACAGAGCTTGGGAAGACCTCCCTAGAACTGCAGCTAGGAGGCTTGGATCTGGTCACATGGAATCATGTGAGGAGGCAAGGCTGAGCTCCCCACCATATGATAGTCACCAAAACTTTGTCTGGATACAGTATACACAAAGGATGGCTGAAGAACATTCAGAGGAAGTCGGCCTGGCAGAGGACCAGATGGCCAGTATGCACTGTGTCCACCCTCTCTGCAAAACTAGGTTCACTAAATGTAAATTGTGTGGCAGTGTTGTTTCAATAGCCTATACTGCTGGTTAGTTTTTTAAAAAATTCTATGAAGTTCTTGTGTGTGCCATAGCGTGTATGATTGCTGCTTATAGGGTCAGGTGTTCTGTGTCCTATCTGTGAGGAATTCCTTACAGACAGCCCTGTCAGATCTTGTATCAAAATAGTTCTATTTTTCCTTAGCAATGGATTCACTGTAGCTTTAGGCACAGTAGGTATGTAACTTACTTTGCTTGTGCTTTCTACTCTGGCTGCCAGGAAGTTCAGATCAAATTAGTAGTCCTCAATGTAGCAAGTGTGCTGCTAAAATGATGCCAAGATTCATAATGAAGATTTAAGCTCTTTCCAAGTTCCAATCTGTGCCCTTTCCCTTTCCCCCACTTATTCTGATTCCCAACCTATCTATGTAACTCTGGGGATGTGCCCAATCTGCATATTAGGTCACAGCAAGAATCCCAGATACAATGTCTCAAACTGTGATTTCAGTAAAGTCAAAGGATTCTGAACTCAAACTTGTCATTAAGAAGAAGATAACTGAACTACATGTCACATCTTATTAGAATAGGGTAACTGTTCATCAGAATATGTTATGTTCTCATCAGTCATGAGATATCACTTTGCTTTGGGTGTTCCAAGACAACTGAAAAGAAGCATAAAAAAATACATGGGTATGATACCAAATTCCAGAGGGGAAAGCATGAAAATAGAGAATGAAAAAAATGAAGAGTTAAAAGCTACAATCTGTAATTCAATTTATTCAGAGTCAGGGCCTTGGTGTCTTCACCCTCACAGGTATTATCTGGGCACTTAAAAGATTTCCTTTATAATAGGCAAGTAGTATAAGCATGGTAAAATGAATTTCAAAAGCAAAGGCTGCTATAAAAGATTTATTAGATGTTAAATGAATTTCGAGGCTGACTAATACTTTCAGAAAACAAATTAGAGGCAGTACCAAGTTTTTAGAAGCAGAATGAAGCGCAAAGGTTTTTTTTTTTTTTTATAGACTTCGCTGCAAGCAAAATGCAATTGATCACATTTGCAAAGACTGGAAGAATAGCAACTGCCAAGAAATAATCCACAATATTAGCACATAAAGCATGACAAAAGTAATGCTTTTAAACAATCATCTCAGAGCAAGTTCACGAGAAGAAGACACTCTGAGAGGCTGATTCTTAATAAATGTGATTGTTTAAACTCTAAGAATTCTTCTATTAATGCAGTTAGGATTTACAGCCCTTTATTTTAAATACTCTCTGTGATAACCAGTCTTTACCTTGGAAGGGAATTCAGAGTTATTTATATAAAAACAAAGTATGGACTGAGTATTTGTGTTCCCCCAAAATTCATTCTGTTGAAACCCTAATCACTTTTGGGAGATGATTAGTTCATGAGGGTGGAGTCCTCATGATGGGATTAGTGCCTTTAGTAGAGGAAGAAGCAGAGACCTTTTTCTTTCTCACCCTTCCCCAGGATGAGGACCTAGCAAGAAGGCAGCCAGCTTGCAGACAGCAGGCCAGGAAGAGGGCCCTCACCAGAACCCAACCACGCTGCTAGCCTGACCTTGATCTTCCGGCCTCCAGAACTGCGAGGAATACACTTTCTTTGCTTGCCACCTTGTCAATGTTTTGTTATGACAGCCCAAGTCAACTAAGATAGACTCTAAAAGCAACTGTGTGTGTGTGTGTAAGTACTAGTTGAGAATGGTTCCTACAGTGGTTGCATAAATAGTCACATTCATGCCATAAAACTGCAAGATGACTGTTATAAGCTACTGTTATTGCCGATATTAGTTACTGTTATTAGTTATTGTTATACAGGACAGTATCTTGATGATACTGATGCTACCACTACCAGCACTTCTACAATATATTGAGTACCTTATGTATGTCCAGTACTGTGCTAAGTACTTGACATAGATTTTTCTCATTTAACTTTTAGGATTTCATAGTTAGATATTAACATCATCACTGTATAATCGATGAAGAAACTAAAGTCTCAAAGTCCCTGTCCTGTAAGTGGCAGGGCTTGGATTGGAACTTAGGACTGTGTGCTTCTGTACCACATGCTCTTATTATTCCACAGTAAGTAAGGCCTCTTACAGATTGGGCTAGGCCCTGTGGACATGTACTCAGCATGCAAACCTATGCTGGAATTTATTCTGTGAGAGGGAGAAAGCTGCTCCTTCGGGTAGTTCATTTTATACTCAGGTGTTTACAAAGAGATTGTCCTTGAGGATGAATGGGGGCAAGAAGTGGACAACCACACTTTCTGAAATCACATACTTCACAGTAGAATGGGGCTGAGGGTGGACTTTTCTGGGGCCAGGACAGGAAGGGTCAGTGAGAGAAGGATGGGATTTGGGGATATAAATGAATGAAAACTCAAGAGCTCAACTGACTTCTGGCACATGCAGAATTTCTGGAAAGCTGCCAAATATTAAGCTGAGTCATTTAATTTTATTTATTTATTTATTTTGGTGGTACTGGGGTTTGAATTCAGGGCTCACGCTTGCTAGGCAAGTGCTCTACCACTTGAGCCACCAGCCCTTTTCTGTGGTGGGTATTTTCAAGATAGCATCTTATGATGTATTTACCCCGGCTGGCTTCAAACTGTGATCCTCCTGAACTCTGCCTCCTGAGTAGCTAGGATTACAGGCGTTAGCCACTGGTGCCTGGCAAACTGAGTCATTTTAAAATCAGAATGATGATCATTGAGACTATCATACAAGGGATATTAAGAATAAAATATTATATAAATAATCAATGACCTTTATAGCATTAAGCATTCCTTAATGTGAACTGTTAGTAATCTGGCTGCAGATGTTGTTTTGGAACACCAGGCTAAAGGATATTTTTATGTCAAATGTGTTCTCATCATTTCCTAACTATATATTTAGATCTTTGGCCTTGAGGACAATTAGGCATGAATTTTAACCTGCTCTGAGATTCAAATAAAGATAAAGAAAAATTACCTGGTGGTATTTCTTCAGGATGTTGTGCATTTCGGCCACATCCTCACTGGTAATGGTCTTGATGATGTATCTTTTGTCGTAGGATGTGTGAAACCGAGCCCCACTGCGTGCCTGGGAGTCGTTTGGAAGGGGTGCACTTCTGGTCAAGGAATTCTTCCCGGGTGGGATAAGAGGGGAGGAGGGAAGAGAACTTGTTAAAGGTCTGGCTTTCTGATTCTCAGATAATTTGTTGTGATAGCTAAATATTTGTCTTAGGAATAAGGTGATAAATAGCTGACAATATTTTATGATTCATCATAACTCAAATTGTAAGTCTTTCAAATGAAATGAAAACAGCCTGGGTGAGGAGTATGGTGGTTCTAATATCCTTAAAGTAAATTAGTATCTACAGTTATAATAATAGTTACTTTAATCATCTTATTCTTTTCAAGTTGGACAAGAGCTCAAATTTATTCTTCTGAGTAAGATCAGGTTCCAGTTATGAAAGGAAATTATATAGTGACTGAAAACAGGCATGGTGCTGGCATTTTGCAGAGTATTTCTCCACATTCTGGGAAGATCCCCATGCAGTGGATACTATGACATCATCATCATTTGACAGATGAGGAGATGAGGATGGGATGAGAGAGACTTAGTAACAGGATAAAAGTCACACAACTAATAAAAGAAGAACTAGAATTCCAATTCATTGTGGTTGGCTCAGAACCCAAGTTCTCAACTAGTCAAGTAGCAAACTGTTGCCTGTGGAGGAGGCAGAAGCCTGGGCAAGTATGTTCTATGACAGTTGTTCAGGCCATCCTCCGTCCCTCTTCAGCCATTTTTGAGTACTCACAATCCTCTGGAGGGTGGACAGGGAGGGGCTCTGAGTAGAGGCTCTTCTGGCATCATTTCATTCCAGCATCTGGTTCAGGTGGCTACACTCTAGCTAGCAATGTCTACCTCTTCTTTTACAGGGAACTCTTCTGTTTGGGTAACCTCTTTCTTAGACCCACTAGGAAATTTCCCCTGCTTGCTCCATCCTTCTCACTTTGGCCACAAGACCAGTGGGAATACAAAGTTCTGGCATCTGAGGAAGCCCAGCCTTCATGCTGCTAACCTGTGCTCTTGAGTAACTTCATCCCCTGCCCAGTTCCACTGGCGTGTGTGTATGTGATTCAACGGCAAAGACACTTTCCCCTTCAACTTTTTCTCTAAGCATGGACATTCAAAGCCCCCAGTGGAGCAAACACTGTCCAGTTCAGGGAACATAGATGCCTTTGGAGAGGCAGGTGGTGTCTGTGTCCCATGGATTTTCAATGAAAGAGTCCCTTTCTGCCTGGCACATTCAAATCTCCTTATTCCTCTCCTTCCTTTCTTGATGAAATCCAACAGGACTGAGCCATTCAAAGTAGAATCAAATCACAGCAGTGCAGAGGTTCATGGAAACCCTGAGCTTGAAGACGAAGTAGCCCATGAGCTCATCCTCATTTCCCAGGGTGCACCTGGCAGCGCTGTAGCAGATCATTACATCCTGAGACATGCATTTTGGATCTGATGCAAGGAGGCACACCTGCCAAGTGCAGAGCCAGTACTGCCAATTAACTGAATCTGCTTTCCTGAGCTTATTTGAAAACTTGAGATGAAAAAAAAAAATCAATGTAACTCCCAATGACTTTAACCAGCAGGATTTTGCAGTGTTAAATTATTCTTAAGACAACTGAAATTCATTAGCTGGATTGAGACTGATGAAAAGGATTTTCAGGATGAAAATGGCTATATTAACAAGAGCTTAATTCTTAGTTACATTTTTTTCCTTAAAAAAAAATCTCCTTTACACTACTTCCTCCTTAGAATAAAAAAAAAAAACAAAATCAAAGTGAATGTACCCTTTTGTGGGTAAATGCTAGCAAAATAGCAATTACAGTTCATTGCTAATGGTCTTACTTTTTCCTCCCAAACATTAATTTGCAAAAGGATATTTACTGAAAATAAGAACTGTAAGAATTTAAGACTGCAAATTATCTTCAGGCATTAAATCAAAGCAGGAACAATGAACTTCCTGGAAGCCAAGTGGAACAGACGATAAATCCTGTAACACTGATAATACACATATAATCACTTTGCATGTAGGGGTGGGGAATAGTAAGGACAACCATATTCAGCCAAGGATGGAATTACAGCAGCACCAATGTCATAGTTCTTTTTCCTACACGTGGTAGAGAGGAAAGTAAACTGTTCTCTCAGGGGCCAATGAGGGAGAATAAAAATGAGACAAGCGTAGTCAGTCAATCAGTACTTCCCAAGCTCAGGGAGCAACCAAATCACCTGGGAACCACGTTAAAATGCAGATTTGGATCCTATAGGTTGAGGTGGGGGCATTTAAGAAGTAGATGATGCTGATGGATCTAGTCTGCAGACCACATGTAAGTTCCAAGGGTCTACTGAATTATGGTTATGTGTTTTGTCTGGTGCACAATGTGTAAAGTATATTCAGATGTGATAATGACACCTTTATCTGCATCTTTGCTCTCCAACTCTAGTTTGGTTAAAAAAGGAAGCTTTATATTTAAAAATTCATAATATTCATTGTATTAATTAAAGAAATACTTAATCATATTGACCATGGATAAGGTACTATATAGGCTAGATACATTATAGGTTCTAAAAGACTAGAAAAACATAAATCAAATCCTTAGCTGAGATGCTGCCTCCTCTCTGATTCTTTGCTTTTCCCTTTAATTTTAAAGATGTTGCTATAATCGCTTGTTATAATAGACTTGGCGTTAGGATACTGGCCAGGTCTTAATCCCAGCATACAAAATATGACAACTTTTAATCTTGAATCTTTCTCAAGTCACTTTTTTAGTAGTCACATGAGTAGTCCCAACCTACAAGAGGATGCGAAAAAAATATTTTAAGACTCTTAGTTTTCAAATAATCAGTAAACTCTGACCTGGTGTCAAAATTTAGAAAGTGTCTTTCACATCACTATGAGCTTAAGAATATATAAATCAAATTTAGTGAGAGCCTTACGTAAAAGACAAGTAGAGAATCAGGAGTTGCAATTTTACACAAAATGCCTGATCTTTGGAATGATTCTAAAGCTTGGAAAGACGCAGTTCATTATTTCATAATTATTAAAAACATTCTTGTGAGAAAGGGAAAGTCAGGTGCATTTTTCCCACTCAAAGGGAAAAAAAACTGGTGGACAGTGGAACCAAGAAATATGTCTAAGACTCCTGCCTAAGGCTTCTTCTGAGGTAGCCAAAAAGGGCACTGACAAAGTCAAGACCAAACTTTTGTTATTATGGAACATCACAATTACAGAATTTCTGTAGTCTTTGAAATAAGGTAAGACTGTTTTAGAGGTAGTGCAGTTTAGGACGCTGGTCTGGAGTCTAGAATACACTCTGCCATTCATTCCATCTTCCATTCATCAGCTCTGCATACATTACTTACCCTCTCTGAGCATCAGCTTCTGTAAAGTGAGGAAGAATAAGCCCAGGACAGAGGGAAAGCTGAATTAGAGTCTTACCTCTAATCCAGGTCTTTTGTAACAGGAAAAACACACTTACTGTTAAGACAGGGCTCACTGCTCTAGGAACTGCTGGAGGGCACAGGCCTTAGAAGGTGACTAATACATATTTCCCAAGGAGAGTCTGGTCAAAAGACAGGATACCAACATCTCGGCAAAGATATAACGATGGCTTAGGACATTTGAGCCAAGATTAAAGGATGACAATAGTTCATAGAGCCACATGTAAATAATATCTCAAAGACTCCAGATATATTTAGGCAACTTCACAAGAGGAAGCACATGAGCCAAGGCAAGGAGGTCTTGTTACATTTTCAAAGTCCTCCTTGTGCTGCCTACAAACAGTCTGCTCTCCAGTGAAACTCACTATGAAACTCCTCAGGGTGCTTTGTTCAGTTGCAAAGGAAAACTGAATCACAGCATTGTACAGGATGTTTGGACAAGGAGGAAGGCGAAGAAGAGAAAGCTTGCAGGAAACAGGGCCTGAGGGTGACTCAGGTGCCCCAAGGGGCCATCCCTCCAAATGTAAATAAATCTCACAATCCAAGAGCATTAGAGTTGGAAGCAACCTTGGAGATTATTCAGTCTACAGATAAGAAAATATAGACCTGGAGATGTAAATGAGTTGCTCATCTCAGTTTTTATTAATTAATGCATCCAGTTGAGACAGTGTACAGCTCAGGCTCTACAGTCTGGTGAGCATTTTGACAGGATAGTTGATAATGATTTTTCCACGGTGACAAATACCTTTTAATACAAATTCAGAGTGTGAGTCAGCTGGCCCAAAATCAAACATCTTTTTTTTTCAGTTTTGCCAAGTGAAGTATGTAGAAAATATCATCAGTATCAGCCATAGTGCTAATGCAGCCCAGAGTCCTTTACTTACACTTTATTAACCTGGGTACAGAGCTATCTTGGCTCATTCTAGGACTTCATTGCTTGACTATAACTGAAGCAGGCAGAAATAGGAGGTGTCTTCTCACCAGGCAAGAGCTAAGCCTGGAAGACTTTGAGTTTCTGCACCCAAGCTTAGAGTCAGGCAGTTTATGCAACATAGACTGTGGTGACCACATCAACTCTAAGACTTCTTCACATTTCTGACCATATGACACTTTTCATCATGCTTATTTTAATTAGTTCACATAGGCTGAGAATTGTTGGAGATTTTCATTCTTCTTCATCACTGGCTTCTATCTTTTGAAGGCTGCCCTGCCCTCTGTCTTTCTCTGCAGAAAAGTACATGGGTTTCCTTTGCAAAGAATGCAAAAGGAGTTACACTGAACACTGGGAATGTTGACTTCTAGGATAATCCCCATAATACTAAACTAGAACACAAATGAACAGAACAGGGAAAAAGAAGTTAGGTGAAATTGGCAGGTTAGGACAAGATGTGCATGGAAGGAAATATTATTAAAAAAAGTACTGCTAAGATTATTTATTTTAATCACCTGATTCAGTTCTGAGATTCATTTCTGACCCAACCAAGGTCTCAAAAGTGTCATCTGTAGGGTTGGTTCGATCATTCTCCAAGGTAATTCCCATATTTAAAACAAAATATTCATTTTTAGGAACTTTCACTTTTATCTAACTGTTTATATGAGAAAGCAGCCAGACAAAATTACCCAAAGAAATCCTCCTA